CTACGTTGATTCCAATTATAACCCTAGGTCAGATAATGTCAGAAAATTAACAAGTTATATTTAAATATTAATTTATAACTTAATATTATATTAAATATAAAATATATTTTATATACTATTCAATTATTATGACTGACGGAAGAAAAGTGATAGGATGTCAATGCAAAAAATTACAAAAGCGAAGGAAAGAATGCAAAAGAAAGAGACAAACATTAGTATATAATCCGGAGGAAGAATTGTGGCATGAACCATATTTAAAAGATTTACGGAGGGAGTTTTCACGTGTATCTATATTATGTGATTCAAAGATTGAATTGCCATGGAAAGATATTGTATTACCAGCAGTTGGCATGAAAATTCGTCAAGATGTTTCCTTGACTCCTTTGATTGATCGAGATGAAAATGAGAAGGAAGAAAAAGAAACAGAGGAAAAAGAATCTTTAGGAACTATGCTTTTACCATGGAAAGATTTAATTATTACGGAAACTGTACCTTCGAAAAAAGATGCTATCGAGAGTTGCGATTCTACGTTAGAAATTCCTTGGAATGATCTTGTACTCGAAAAGCCAATGGATATACAACCCGTACAAGAAGAGGCTTGTGTTACTACCGATGTTGAGATTCCATGGAATGACATTTTAATACCGCGAAATATAATAATTGAATCACAAAAAAAGAAGCATCCTTCTTCAAAATATCCACCTCGAACATTAGTTACAAAAGGCAAATGTTGTTGTACAATTGGATGCAAAAACAATTCACCTTACAAATAATTTATAAATTAATCTACATAATTATAATATAAATCATTTTATATTATACATTTTATAATTTATAATATCTATTTTTGAAGATATAATAAAATTTTTTGCACTTTTTTAATAAATGCATAAGTATATATTTTAAAGAATCCTGGAAAATAATATGCGATCAGTACTAAGATTTAAAAAATAATTATTAAAGAATAATTATTCCACATTTAGAAATTTATAAGCGTATAAAAAAATATATCAAAATGTATCAGATTGAGCAAGTTTTTATAACTACAAGGTCGCTCAGAATCTTTTTCATTGAGTTTATTTTTAACTGATCGAAATCACTTAATATGTATGTAGTTTATATCATGGTAGAAAAGTAATATTGATATATATTGATACGAACTAAAAATAATATTTTTATCAAATATTTTTATATTTTTTATGCTTTTACATACATTGATAAGCGAAAAGTTACGTACATATATATAAAATTGCAAATAAAAAAAAAATTTTTGTTATTTATATTATCGACAGAAGTTAAATTGTGATTCAAATAAATTACATGATGGCGCTACGTGCAACGAAACATCGCGCCGCCATGATTATTATCCGCTTGATGTTCATGATTGGCGGCAGTCGGCACTAGCCAGTGGACGCGAACGGTGGTTTGTTTGTAATATAGTTAAGTCAAATACTGCACATGAAAATGGCGTAGTAAGGTGGTATAACGCCGTAATTATCATCGCATAAATATGTCGTGAAAAATTTCGAACAGTGAACAGGCGTCTATCAATTGACTTTTTAAGCATTTATAACGATACCGTCCAATTAAAAGCATTGTGATTAATTCGATGGATCACTCATCCTAATAACAGCGTGAAAAGTGTGTTGTGTGTTGGTGACTCGTACTGTGATTTGACAACGGATATGTTCGAATTCCTGTTAATGTTTTAGAGGTCGAACGAGATGTACAAGCTTAATTAAACTAACGTAATTCAATTTTCATGAAGAATATCCAACGATGGCACTCATACTTGGGAGAAATCAAGAATTTTTCCTCGTGACAGCTTGACGACCTCGACTCCAGACGAGTTCAAGATGGCGCCACCGGCATTTTGACACTTGCCCAAGATTCGTCAGCTGGATTTTACAACCGCTCCGAGTTTCGATTATGAGCAGAGAATTTTACGTTCCTTGTACACCCTACACTTATCAGGTAAGCGAATTATTGCTTGTCATTTTTCATAATAATTACGATTGTTTCAATGTGTTCGGTAATCAGATGCTTCCTGCATCGCCATATTTTTGCAAGGAGGATTCCAAATTGTTAATTTTTTTTCATAACCTTTAAATATTTTATTTGATTCTTTTTTATAAGCAGAATATAATATTAATAAGTGTAGTCCAATATATTTTAGAAATAAATCATTTAGTATAATTTCATTAAAATTATTGAAAGATATTTTTAATATGTTTTTGAAATTAATAATATAGTGAATGTTATTCTTTGACAATGCTATAAAGATCGCTTAATACAAACTTCCATAATTATATGAAATTTAAATAGTTACATGAAATATCATATATTGCATATAATATATATAATTAAAATTTGTTATGATTTTTGTTGCTTATTTACATTTTAAAGTATATCAAACGGTGTTTTGTAATAAAGCAATGCTCTGATTGTTATTTAAATATTAAAATCGTAACACGCGTAAACGAAAACAATGAAGGTGGTGCCAACGAAAAAGCGACGGTCGATAAAAACCGACGGGTAATGTCAAATTGCACGATGTGAAAATTGACAAGTAACCCAGGCCTATGCCTAGTTTCTATATACCTTCTCGTGGATATTTTGATTTTCGCTATGAGTGATGGTACTTTCTCAGAAAATCTGTCGGAAAGTAATATTTCTATGGCAAATGATGCGGAAGAATTAAACTCGCAGGGTTCCGTTGATAAGCATGTTAAGGGTACGAATCTACCCACCGCGAGTAACATAACCAAGAAGGTGAGATTTTAACGTCTGACACATAATCTTTTTTTTATTTTTATTTTTAACTCGATGTTCTTTCAAATTCATAATTTTCGAAATATAGTTCCATTTTTTGAATCAAGTAACTATTTATGATTTCTTTCCATTTTTCACTTATTATAGTGTCTTTGAATTTATTGCTTCATATATTTCAATTACATTCAAATTGTTGAAAATTTTTAGTATATTATGAATAAACTTATAAATGTTTACAAATATGCAAAATCAAATAATTATTAAATAAAATGTTAATTAATCACTTATTTTTATATTAAATATTTATTAACAACATTATTACATATATTATTATTTTTATCGTTGAAATTGATAAAAATAAATAGATAAAGTCAATTAAATTTGTTTAATTATTATATCTATATTAAAATCAACATTTCTTTTTCAAAAATTGATGTTTCTAATATATAATACAAAAGTAAAAAAAAAAAAAAAAAATCTTTGGAAATTTTAATGTTCAAATTTATTTTTAATAAAAAATTTCATATTTTTAATTAAAATCAAAGTATGCAATATGAAAATGTTAATGTATGAAATACTTAAGTATTTTAATTTTAATTTTAAAAGCACAAAATACTAAAAATTTCTTTTAGAGACTAAAATTTATAAATCACATTAATACAAAAAGTAACAAATTTAGAATTATCGGTGATATCTAAATATGAATACAGTTACTGTGTTACAGTAATCATGAATGTTCACATGAAAAAAAGAAAATTACAAATACGTAGCACCAACACGTCAATTTGTTTTCATTTGTAACGGTCTCGAGTAAACAACATATTTTCAAGTATTAATATTTATTTAACGATTTAAATGTTACACGTGTCGCGACATTTCGTCTTGCTTTTGAACGGAACCTCGTTTAGCGATCATAACGAATAGATCAGATCGAAGCTACCGAATGTCGGTTATTACCTGAGACGTTTGATGAGATTGAAGAGCGGAGGGAATCTCGAATCCGAAAGAGAACCGATCAGTAATATTTCTGAAATGACCGAAATCACGGAAAGCATGTTAAACCGCGCGATGCTAGAAATCTCGATGGGTAAATGTTTATATTATGGAAATTAACTTAATTTTATATTAATTATAACGTGTATGATAAATATAATGAATTTATTTTCTACGAACAACAAAGTTTGATTTCACTTTTTCGCATATATGTATAAATATTAAATAAGAAAGGAGAAGATATTTTCTTTAATTCTTTTTTTAGATGTTTAATGAGGTTGCATTACAAAATATAGTATTCAATTCTAGATATTTATTTTTTTCTCAATTTTAAATCATATAATTATAAATTATAATTATAAATAATGATATATACGAAATATTTCGTTTTTCTACAAAATTTCGTTTTCATTCTACGATTCAAAGAATCCAAAGATACTAGACGAAATATTTATTCTAATTTTTTGTACGATTACACGATTGTTATCAAATGTAAGGATATTATCTATAAACTTTGCTGTTCAGATTATCGATTTAAAATTCAAACCCTTTGTTTCGAAATCTAGCAATTCGAAACGAAACATTTACAATTCTTCACATTTATATTTCGTATTTATATGTATAATATAATATTGATGAGCCACGATTTATCAGTGTCCACGAGCAATGAACAAACTATACCGGAAGATGAGGATTCGATCAATTGGTCGGAGAACCATGCTGTTAAAACGAATAATTACGAGGTTTATGGTGGACCTTCGAACGATTTCAGGGGACATGATCCTGGAGGACCTTCGTCTTCCAACTCGAACGAAAACGACAACACAAGTATTTCCAATCATTGATTATGTGAATAGGAAAGGGGGAGAAGGGGTAAATCGTATCATGCGGGCTTATTGATTTTCGAAATGTTTGCCCTTAATGATTCATATTTCGCTTCTTTCTTTTGTGTTTCTTTGTTTGTTCGCGTCTCTATCAGAATTTTTTTTACGAAAATAAATTATTTACGACAATTATATCGTGTATAGAAGAATCTTATAGTGCGATTCTCCTATATATAACGCGAATTAAAAATTATGCTCCAACATATATCATACGTTATAATTATAATAAAAAGTTGTGCGATCGAAAAATTGCTGAAGAAGACGTGAAAAAATTATTTACACGTTTTTGAATTGACTCGATTATTTATTGTAGCGCGTTATATAATTATTTCTATAATTATCTAAAAGAATTTATTCCAATGAAAAAATATCGATCCATTATCCATTATTTAAATAAGTTTAATTAATAATAACATCGTATCGTAACACGGAGCATAATCTCTCACGTTATTAAGAAATTTTATTACATTACATAAAATCTAACGAGAAAAATTTCCAATTATTCTAAGAAGGAAGAAATAGATTCGAGACTATATTTTCAATTTTTCTTTATACTCGACTTGTACTCGATTCTGTGGAGTAGTAATGCAATATTCATCGGTTTATGCGCCACGAAATTTAGTCGGGCTTCCTTACAGGTGAATATCCCGCCATGATTGCGACTGCTGAAATCGAACCTGCTCAAACGATTTCAAACTCCGTGACCACCGAAGCGATGACCACGAATGGGATTTTCGTGAATGTGTTGAACCGCGAAAATATCCCTGGGGGAAATATATTGGAGTTCAGAGAAGCTTTGTCCTCGCACATGGGGTAAATTTAGTTATCTTTAACCGAATCGAATCATCGACCAAAAAAAGTGATCGATCCATTTTTCGCCTATGCATTTGAATTATGTACATATGCTAAATATCATTTAGAAAATATGTGTTCAAAAGTGATTCCGTTTGGTTGAGTGAAGAGTTGATCAATGATTTAGATATTATATTTTTTTTTAATCTTTTTTAATCATGTATAATGGTATCAATTCGAGGTGCAATTAAAAAAGGTGAAAGGATTAACGCGTGAAAAGTTTGTAACATCGATCACAAAGTTTATAATATCGTACTCTCTAGATCCCAAGTGGAAGAAGTTAGAGACCAAGAGACTCGAAATGTCCCGTTGTTCTATATTCAAACCGACGATCGCCAAGAGCTTTATCTGCAGAATACATTAAACGTTGAAAGTGGATTTAGTGGATCGAATACGAGGTAAGCTCGAAATTACATCGATTTGAATGATTATCCTTTGATTATTTAATCTGTGTAAATAAGAGCTACGCTTTTATTCACGAATACGAATTTTTATTAGAGATCTTGCGTGAAATTACTTCAATCTTGTTGTTGTATTTATATATAAACAGATATAATCCGAGAGCGATAAACTTATTGCTTGTTAAATTAGATTTATAGGAAGTGTGCGTGTTATTTTGTGAATCATTTCTTTGTATTACACGTGTTTGCACATCGAATAACAATTATTCGTATTATTTAGGATATAAGTATTTAAGTAAACCTCTTCCTTTTTAAGGCTGTTTGCACGGTCAAATTTGCATTTCTCTTCTCAGACTTGTCAGATATTGCTTATCATAGCAAAGTTATTACAAATTGTAGACAATGATAAGAAGTTAAATGATTTATAAAATTGCTTTATTTGTTAGGATATAAAGATAAAATTATCGTACTATTCCCTTGCCAAAACCAATAATTTTCTTTATAAAAATTAACAGCTTCTACCTATCATATAGATCGAACATTCAATGCCTACGTGCAACATAATATAATTTCTACATAGATATAAATAAAAAATCTGGACAAAAATCAAAACGAAATTCTATCGACTCGAATCCAAATTCGATCATTCGAACAGCGCGCGTTACGTGAATCAGTCATTCTATTCATCCGCTAACTCTATTCAACTCTATTCTCAGAATCGAATATCCCCCCCCTTTAACCTATTCGATTACTCTCATTCGTCACGATTGGAAGATTGTTTCATCTCGCGCGAATTCCTTCAAAATCGAGACGAGTTATCGTTACTCAATCTAATACCTGCGGTGACACGTTGCACGCGCAGCATTATATTTTCTCGTTTTACATTGGTTTTCGCGTACGCGTGTTTCGGGGCGCAAGCCGCAGAGCGCTCCCCAGATATCGAGTGTACAACTGCGCAGAGCGGCATGACGACCGAGTGGAAGATTGCGGCGCATCGTGCGGCTCCGTTCGGTAAACCTACTCGCGTGCTAACCGCGCTAAAAAATCGGTAACGGTATCGTTATTGTGGTCGGTTTGCATTCGTCGAACGTCGTCGATGGAATAAGCCTCGGCGGAAACAGTTTCGACCGTTGGCGGATGACTGGCCGTGAGATGGCCCTTATTAGCCGTATCCTAAGGTGACACGGACGAGTGAAGAGGTTCTGACTGCTCGTCCGTGACGATTCTCTTTCGAGGCCGAGGTTCGAGTAATTCCAAGGGATTTGGAAAGTATGAAAATAGATAATATATGGTCGAAGGAGTGGAATTATCGTGAATTATTTCCCTAATTATTAATTCCCTAATTTCAGGAATAATTGCAATAAATGATTGTTTCGTAATTAATTTTTTTCTCAATCCTTTGATCGTTGAATATTCTATATTGTTCTTTATAGACGGCTTACTTATCGCTGCAAGCGCAACAGTTATTTTACGTAGCGACAAGTTATCGATTAACTGCGTGCGTGTATATTTAATCTGGCTGGTTTAACTTTGAGGAAATTAATTTCATATAGGCATCCCGTGCCTATATAAACGTATGATAATCGTTCGATACGATTTTAAATAATTCTTTTTAAATACAATAGTAGTTCCAAAGTCCTTCTAATTGTAGTCAGACTTTTATGGTTAGTTTTAGTTCGTTCATTGCTTCATTGTTTTCGTTTTAACGATGTTGGTGTACATAATTCACTTCTCGTTTATGGTAATAATTCAAGCTAAAAATAGTTCGTTTTCATATCGAGCGAATCAGGAAGGAAGTAATCGCTGCTTGTTTTTCTTAATTTCTTAAAAGACCCATTATCCTGTATTTCGTTACTCTGATTTTCTTAAACTAATATCGTCAATTCCGTGATTTTAAACTGATTTATTCAATTCAATTTTTAGTTCCAGTTCTGCTTTTGTAGGTAAGGAGCTAACGCAATATTATTAAAATCCATAAATTATTTTAATTGTTCTAACGGTAGGCCACGGTGGCCGTGTAATTTTTTTCAATTTTAAAAATCGTTAATTAAACAGTAGGATATTTTTATGCTGTTATAAAACAAATATTGATATTAAGATTATCATCTTTTTATGTCTGGCCGTTAGTTGTTTTTATCAATTTTCATACAAACGATGGCCAATAAAATACAAATTGTCTAGACGGTTCTCGTTGCGCGTAGGATAAAATTACGAGAGGTCTCGAAAGGCAATGGAAAGGAAATCCTTATCCTTGCACCAAGTGAAATGATTTGTCGAGGTGATTTCACGAAGGAAATATTGCATCTATTCTACCATCGTTATACCATGGCAAAACGCTCGGCCAATCGATTTCCATACAGTATGTTATTTCTCCGTTTATTTCTCCGATTTGCAATAATTGTGATGTTAGATTCAACTAACGAACTGCCGCCCGATAAAAATACAAAATTATAATTATTTATGAAATACAAAATTGTAATAACCTGCCATATAAATTTAAATTACCATTAAAAGATTGTAAATTTTACTTAAAATAATATATTCCAAGTCAAATAAAATAAACATATTGGTCAAGAAATTCAGATTACTTAAACTCTTAAGCCGGTTGAACTACGAGTGACATACTTAATGGTTCAAATTACGCGTTATTCGTAAAGTGGTATCGAATTAATTAGATTCAACTACCTTGACTAATTTGCACGAAATTTGCGCAGAGATGAGAATTCTCGACGAACCAATTTCAATATAAATAGTACTATATAAGTAACAATTTTTTTTTACAACAACAATAATAATACGAAAATTAGAAATTTATGCACGATTATGATCTCCTGTGTTCACGCTCGTCGATCAATGACTTTTTTATTTTAATTCATCGAAAACACGAAAATAATTTCCGACAAAATTAACATCGTGCCACATCACAGATAAATATTTTCATCACAATTTAATAATTCCAACGTTCAATCTTATTCGATATAAAATCGAATCACCTTGACCAATTTGCGCAAACTTGAAAGAATTAGACGAATCCTTATACTTTCGATGAATCGATTTCGAATACCCGAGAAAGGAATAATAATCCATAAAAAAAAAAAAAAAATACCATCTTCTTCAAACTTTCTTCGATTTCTTTTATCCACGGGTTAGATAGTCCATTGCCGTTTCCACACAATACATCTTTTATTCCAATCGCATAAATCGTTACCTTTTTCTTTTCTTTTCTTTTCTTTTCTTTTCTTTTTTATTTCTCTCCCCGGCGCAAGAACCAATTAACAAAATGGAATGATTCACGATCCATGCACGCCGGTGCAACAATTCCATTCCATCGTTTTCGATTTTGCAACCCGTGAACCGATCGGCGCATAATGGACAAATTCAGTTTCCATCGAAAACTTGGCCGGCTTTTATTATACACGGACAGTGAAGTGTAACTGAACGAGTTCCACGGCGGTAACTCGAGGTGCCAGACTTTCACGAGTGTGCGTTTTGCTCACTGAATCGTACAGAGGAGATCCTATTTGATTACAGGCTGCGTTCTAACCGAGCCGTGGTTACGTCTACGATCGTGACTCATTCGTTGTGCACACCCGGTGTACACGTTTGTAACTATCGGTCACCTCGTTTCGAGAAAGTATGTGGCGGGGCAATGCACATTGAAATATTAATTTCATCCGTTATTTATAGCGTTCTTTGTCCGCGGAGGAGAAGAGGAATTCGTATTACGCGCGCTATGAATTATTTCCCCCCCCGAAAGGAAAATAATAATGGATATTGAAAATCATAGTCCCATCTATTGTTGAGATATCATTGCTCGCGGATTAATCGAGGTTTCTCGATTATCTCGACTGCCGAGATAAAATAATCGCTTAGAGATTAGAAGAAAATCGCGTGATAATGTTATATTTATACGGTGAAAAATTACTAAACAGAATATCTAATGAATCACTTTTCCACGATAAATGATATTCTAGATACGAGAAATGGAAAATAAAATTTATCAATGTGAGTGAAAGTGAACGGGGGAAATTAAACAATAAAAAGCAAACATTAAAATTATACCTCGTAGGACTGTATTGCTTTTATAAAATATACTTACAGAGATAATGGATTATCGAAACAGATAACGGAATCAGAAGCAGACCATTAACTTAAGAATCGTGTTATATAGGAGACCGTAATCATAAATCTATAATTTTCACGTTTATAATTGTTATTAAAAAATTTAAATACTTACAACTCCATTCAACTAAACGTGAAATGATTCACGATGACCCATTCAAACAACCCCATAACGATCGAACGTAACGAAAACCTGTCGAAGAAAAGGGCGTGGAAAGCTCGGGTAAAAGTTAAAAATCGAAACCGTGAAAGGGGTAAAAAAATGACGGAACGGTGACATTCCCCATAGTCAAGATAAAAACCCTACTTTCTCCGCGGCATTATGCAAACAGAAATTCGAGCAATGGAGAGAAATTTCTCTAGTCTTAAAACTTGTGCTTGCGGTTAAACTCGACCGTGGTTACACTCCTCCTTTTCCACCCGCCTCTTCGTTACGGATTCTTCGACTCTAATGAAGGAGGAAGAGGGGTGGGGGTGGATGAATCGTGCCCCGCCACGCGGAATAACTTTGACGATTTGTCAGGGAGGCAGGTGCATCCTGGCACGGAATATGGATTCTCTTTGCCGGGTCGATCGTGTGTTACACGGATTGTATGGAGTTGGATGTGTTAGTCGGCGACTGTGCCGTGCCGGATAAGGCTTCGGAAAATTTTCGATTACGGAAGAACGGTTAACCGCTGTCTCGTGCCGATCGCGCGCTATTAAGCCATATTTCCTGTCAAGAATTTCCTGTTAAGAGGTCGAAACGAATTTTGTAGTAATGGATTTGAAGCAACTGGAAACATTGATTTTTAACTTCGGTTACCGCCAGTCTGCTTTTCAACCGCGTACGTATCAGGTCGACGAGTGAAATTGTTTCAATTTCGATGAAAGAGATACTCGAGAATGAGTTTTTAATTGTTTTATCACGAGTCAATAATGGACGTAGAGCTTGATCAGGGGATAATCATGGATTAAATTCACGGTGAATTTAAAGTAGGTCTTTCCTCTAAAGGTAAAAGGATTAGATATTTTTCAAAACTTTGTAATTTTTTAATTATTATTCTGCTCCTTTCCAATCGACATCGTGTCTTATTAGGCGAACGTGACGAGGAATTGTAATCTTTGTCGGGAAAGATAAAATTCATACGATAACGAAAAGGTTGATGTCATTAAGCGGTCGTTGGATTAATTCCTGTTCGTAATCCTTCCTCATTAGCCGGGATAATGCCGAGCATGAATCTCGGTGTTCTCGAGATGAAAGTGGGGAGAGGTTAATAGAGTTGGACGAGTTTCGAGAGAATCGGCAAGCGAAATTAACACTTTCGTGAGCACTCGCGTGATTCGTTTCTACTGGAATTTTCTCGTCGCATTATCACGTGTGTCTTACGAACTTTAATCGCGTGCCTCGTACCGCGCCTTGAAGCGTACACGTGTGTTTGATTTATGATCGATCGTTACTCGCAAATAAGGGAGCGTGATGTTTCTAATTATGTCAAATTTACGTAACTTTTGAGTAATACTTCATTACTATCGTATATGTTTTCAAGAAAAAGAAAAAAAAGGAAAGAAAATTATTCAAATTCTTCGCGACAAAATTTCAAAAATTAATTTAGCAAAAATTTTATCTTTCGCACGCTAAATCTATAAAATTTAGAAGCAGGCGAGCTCTTTTTTATCAGAGAATACAATCTCACAATTTTTCTACAGATAACAATTTTTTTTCACGCAATTCTACAATTTCTTTGAGATCCTATAGATCCTAGTCGGCGCATCTCATAAGATGCAGCCAAGTACGACGCTTTGATAGGTGGGTGGTTATGAACGAATTCTTTTTTATTAGAGAATACATTCTCACAATTTTTCCACAGATAAAAATTTTTTTTCATGTAAATGTACAATTTCTTTGCGAGATTCTATAGATCCTAGTTGACGCATCTCATAAGTCAGACGCACAATTTTTCCAGAGATAAAAATGTTTTTTTTACGCAATTTTACAATTTCTTTGCGAGATTCTATAGATCCTAGTTGACGCATCTCATAAGTCAGACACATAATTTTTCCCGAAATAAAAATGTTTTTTTCATGTAAATGTACAATTTCTTTGCGAGATTCTATAGATCCTAGTTGACGCATCTCATAAGTCAGACGCATAATTTTTCCCGAGATAAAAATGTTTTTTTCATGTAAATGTACAATTTCTTTGCGAGATTCTATAGATCCTAGTTGACGCATCTCATAAGTCAGACGCACAATTTTTCCAGAGATAAAAATGTTTTTTTTACGCAATTTTACAATTTCTTTGCGAGATCCTATAGATCCTAGTCGGCGCATCTCATAAGTCAGACGCATAATTTTTCCCGAGATAAAAATGTTTTTTTCATGTAATTCTACAATTTCTTTGCGAGATCCTATAGATCCTAGTCGGCGCATCTCATAAGATGCAGCCAAGCGTACGACGCTTTGATAGGTGGGTGGTTATGAACGAGTTCTTTTTTATTAGAGAATACATTCTCACAATTTTTCCACAGATAAAAATTTTTTTTCCTGGTCGCATCTCATAAGATCAGACGCATAATTTTTTCAGAGATAAAAATGTTTTTTTTATGTAATTGTACAATTTCTTTGCGAGATCCTATAGATCCTAGTTGACGCATCTCATAAGTCAGACGCACAATTTTTCCAAAGATAAAATTTTTTTTTCACGCAATTCTACAATTTCTTTGCGAGATCCTATAGATCCTAGTTGATGCATCTCATAAGGTTATGCAGCCAAGCGTACGACGCTTTGATGATTAGGTGAGTGGTTATGAACGAGTTCTTTTTTATTAGAGAATACAATCTCACAATTTTTCCACAGATAAAAATGTTTTTTTCACGCAATTCTACAATTTCTTTGCGAGATCCTATAGATCCTAGTCGGTGCATCTCATAAGGTTATGCAGCCAAGCGCACGACGCTTTGATGATTAGGTGGGTGGTCATGAACGAGTATCGAAGATTCTCTTTTTTTTCGCCGGATCCCACGTAGTTTATGCATTTCGTGGGCGTCCAACTCTTTATTTGCCGTGGTTCAGCCCTTCTCGTATATGATACGCGCGTCACGCACGCGGTTTTATCGCTTTGAAAAGTAAAAGTGGCCGTCCTACGGCTCTTCCACGGATCCACGCAACGCGTGAAAATAACGCGTCCGACCTCTGTTGCACTGATCTTCCCTCACAGTGAACGAAGTCAGTCGAATCGTTGACATCTGGTGTTAATCTGGCTTGTGGGAATGCCCACACGCTGTTCAATCGCGAACGTTTCTCGCCTGTTTGAATATTCAAGTGAATCGTGATTAATTGATCATCGACGAATCCATCCCACGTTTCAGGGGATTCGCGTTCGAATGTGATCCTTTCCCTTTTGCCTTTTGCGAGATTTGGATGGTGCACGAGTGGATGTTGCATGGGATGCGTGGTTGTGGAGTAGGATGAGCCGATAGAGTTAGTTTCGGATAACGTAATATCTGTGAGAGATTCGATTTATAATTTATTCCCTACATTTATATTTTTATATATTTGAAATTCTGAAAAGCACGATATTTCTTTTATTATTTATTTATTTAGAAAACGAGCAAGTTTCGAATCGAGATATTCAAATTTTCCAAAGATATCGATCGATTATTCATTTTGCATATACAATTTGCATATTTTTAATATTTTTTTACAGTTTTAATAAAATGCATAGAACATAGAATGTAAAAGTGTTGATATAATGTGATTTTTATCGAATCTCAGGAGCGAAGTTAGCAGCATATCTGAAAATGAAAACTCGGAGGTGCGTAATCAAAGAATAGGACAGGATCGTGCACCACAATTTTTTGGCGCCATAATGAGCGTAGACAAAATGATACGCAAGCCAATTTGCCGCAACGATGATGAACCGACTATATATTGACTTTTATTGTTTCAATATCAAGAATTAACGGAACCCTGCGCTTCATAGACGTAAATAAAGAAAACATTTTTTAAGAAAAAAGTAAAAAAAGTGTTTTTATTATTTGATAAGTATGGATAGATATTTTTTACAACTTTAACTTAAAAATGGCAATTTTTATTGAAACAAAAATGTATTGGAATTAACAGTAAGTTATTCAAAAAAGTTTATCATATTCCCAAGCCACGGGAACCAAGAAGAACAGTTTTTAAGTTTTCGTTTTAATTAAATACTATGAGAATATATTTTTGTGATATAATTTTTGTGTTTAAAAGAATTTGCAGATATTTTCCGCGTGAATCTTTCCTGTTTATTGTTTCCCGTGTTAGTTGCATAAGTTATTTCCGCCGGTGAGGCATAAAAACTTGCGCGTAACTTACATAAATTCTCTACAGATAATTATTCCCTGTAATGAACTTTTTACGAAGTTGAAGATACGATAATAAACATTAAACTTCTTTTTTTTTTTTGTGTGTGTCAAAGATAATGCTTGAAATATTTATTATTTTTCCAACGATTTTCTACGAACTTCATTTTTTTTTTTTTTTTTTTTTTTTTTTTTTTTTT